AAGTAGTTTGAGATAATAGTCTATTTATCACATGCCTAAAAAGAAAGGAAAAAAATCTTAGAAATCTTCCCATTTCTTCACAATCATTTCCTTATTTATTAAAACAAAAGAATATTTTAATGTAAGATATTATAGTTCAACTCCTCCTATAAATGACAGATTATTAAAGGAAAAAGAATATTCTAATGTGAGATACCATAGTTCAATTTCCTCATATAAATAAGAGATTATTAAAGGAAAAAGAATATACTAATGTGAGATACTATAGTTCAATCTCCTCCTCTAAATGAGAGAAGAGCTTCTCCGTAAATGAGAGAAGAGTAAGGAGCTATCATTAATACAATTGGTTTCAGACCTGTGCGATGCATGGATTTGTATAAAAGTATAGTTGACAATTTGAACAATTTGACATATAATTACCAACTTAACTCATAAAACTAAAAACTAATTTATCAAATTTTCTACTTTTAGAAATATTTTGTCAAATTAGAACACTTGTCAATTTGTTGCCATAGAATTTTATGGTAGGGTAATCGAGTCCTAATCATTTCTAACCTAGTAAAAGTGTTGGGCTAAGATTCAACCTAGCAAGAGGATGAAGTAGTCCAATGAGAATCAAATTTTATGACCCTCTCTACATGTATAGCACAACCATAACTTCCAAAATTTCTTGTATGCTACTTCCCCGTTATTTTACTTGATGTTACCTCCATGTTCTTTTGCAGCATTGATTTTATATACCGTTACATCCAGGTTCTTTTACCAAAGTTGCTAATACCTCTAGCTTTGAATATAATAATACCAGCAACTTTGAAATGCTATTATTTTTGGAGGTTAGCCAATAAACTAAAATTTAATTCTTTTTTCATGTTATTATTTCCAGGTTAGAAAATAAATCAAATATATTTTACTGCAATCCTAAAAATGCTTTAAAACTTTTGGCTTCTTAAAACCTATGTAGAACGAACTAAAAATCTGTGTGTTGTACTCGCTTCTCTTGCCGATTTGTCTATAAATATGAAGATAAATACAAATGTTTGACAAAAACTAATTAAAGTTAGAGGAAAAAGAACATAAGAGCGCAGTGCTCACTACTAAAAAATAACACATCCTAGGCAAAAAATTTCTTCTAAAATAGGCAGAATTCCATCTAAGTCAACCATCCTAGATGGAATTCCATCTAGGATGTTGGTTGGGTAAGTTTCCGTCTAGGATGGAGCATTCTAGATGAATTTCCATCTAGAAAAACTCTCCTAGACGAAAATAATCCTAGACGGACTACGATAACCGTCTAGGATAACTTCTAGATGGAATTTTTGTCTAGGACGTATCCTAAACAGGAATTCAATTTGGGATGTCCTATACGGAAATCTCGTCTAGAATGTTTGGTTACATCTTGAATGGAATTTCTGTCTAAGATGTATCCTAGACAAAAATTCCTTCTGGATGTTTCCATTCTTTTAAAAAAAATTAAAGTTTTCATTCCCCCTCAATTAATATCACCTACAATATCATCTAATAATAGCCCCACGTAAATCAATATACAATCCAACACATCAATCACATACCACATTACTCATTCTATTCCAATGCAAAATCCAACTAATATACATTACATTCCAAGATCAAACACAAACGAATAAACCATTTTCCACAATGCGGACGTTCAAAGTCCGCAAAAATAACTTATAATCAAAGTAAACATATCATGTCACAATATAAAACTATCAAATACGTATATTGTCACATATATATCATGTCTCCCCTGCAAATAATAATATCATCTAATACATAATACTAGTACTCCTAATGCATGCAATGCGTGCATGATCCTATCCACCTGTGAAAAAAAAATCAAACATATAAATGAATGTTGATATAAATAAAAATATTTTAAAAAATTAAAAAATATAAAATTATAGGGCTTTTTCGAGATATGTCCTCCACATTAAAGATACTTTTAAATTTGCCCACCAAATCATTGTAATTCTAAATTTACCCCTTAATTTGCTTTCGTCTCTCATATTTGCCCTCCATTTTAAACAAATGATAAAATTGTAACAGTTTCTTGCAAATAAATTTATTTTATGGCCTTTTTAATAATTGTGGACTAGAAGAGCTGGTGAATTGAAAATGTCATAATCTTCTCACAAATTATTCCCGCCTTCTCACAAATTCCCAATTTCAACGTACATGTTTTCTCCAAAAATCAAGGTTTATATTTAGGGGCTGTTTGGTTCGCTTAAAAGTCCCGTGGAAACAGGTTTCTGCGTCTGACACCATCCCCACGTCAGATTTTTTGTTTCCGCGGATTTCTTTTTGTGGCTTTGGTTCGCTATGGTTGAAGAGGGAAAAGGCCGCTGAAAACACCGCCACATCGGAGTTTTTTCCCCTCCCGATTTCCTTCCCCAACCAAGTGAAATCCACGAAAAACCTGGCCACCTCGGATTTTCTTCTCCCTCGTTGATTTCTTTGGAGACGCTATAGTTACCCCCTTTCTCTCCTCCCGTCGCCTCCCGCCAGAAACTCCTGCGGCCTCTTTGCTTCTCCTCTTCATCTCAAACCCAAAATCCCCAACCCAATTCCTCTCTCTCTTTCATGATTTCTAGGATTTCTTCATCTCTCCAAAGATGTCTTTCAACGGCGGTAGCTTCGTCCTCGAATCCGCGCTCGAGCGGTTCCTCTCTCGCCATCCCTATGTCCGCTCCGTCCCCAAACTTGTCGCTCTCTCTCAAAAGGTTATCTTTTTGAAACCCTAATGATTCAATCTTTCGATTTTTTTCTCAATTTTGTTTTGAATTGATATAAGGAGGAGCTTTGACAGCGGATGAGTCATTATGGTTGAGACGATCGCCGACCCTTCCCTTAAAGTTAAATGTGAAGGCTCCAAGAAATACCTGCCTTGTGGAAACTTAATTCTTATTGGAGGGGATCTTGCGTAAGTTCTTCTAGTTGTTTTGCTTTCTTTCTTGTTTCTTTGTATACGGAATCAGGAGTCCTTTTTGTCGTCTCAAAGTTAGCTCGCAATTGTGGAAGCATTTATATCATAAATCTTCAGTGCTGGTGAATGCATGAACTTCAAAACATTTTTTGCACCTTTTTTTGGGGGTCATTCAGTCTATTCAGCAATTAATAAGCTATCAAACCTTGTTATGTTTCCTTTTCATTTATCTTAATTTATAAGTTGTGGGTTGCATACACCAAGAAGTTCTTTGTCTTTGAATAATTATATCAAAGAGGTTCAACTAGAAAGACATTCGTCAGGGATTTTCTTGGTTATTCAGTCTACTAATCCAATTACGCTTCCTCACATTTTTCTTAAAACTATATTTTTCTTGCATAATGAGGATTATTCCTTTTAGTATGCGGCTGGATGAGGATTGGTTTATGGAGTAACAGAACTGAAGAAATACAAGGGGCCTCAGTCTTTTGTTATTCCTGGAAATCATGGTTGGTAGTCATCTTCAGACTGAAGATTTAGTGTCATACTCTCGTAATGGATATTTATTTTTCATAATCTGATAATTTTCAACAGATTGGTTTGATGGGCTTCACACTTGAATGAGGTACATATGTCATAAGAGTTGGTTGGGTGGTTGGTTTCTTCCTCAGAAAAAGGGTTACTTTGCTTTGCAACTTCCAAGAGGCTGGTGGGTTTTTGGTCTTGATCAGGCTCTTCAAAGTGACATCGATGTTTATCAGTTCAAGTTTTTTGCGGAGTTATGTCAGTCCAAGGTAACTTTACTTCTTTTGCTCCCTTGTACATTTTGTTACATAGCTAATGCTTTTTTAAGCCATTTCATCCCATGTCAATCCAAATAGCTTTCATCCTAGAACAGAAGGGGGATTTTTTTTTGTTGCAAATCATTCCATGATGTTTTACTTCAGTCTTCCAAATGTAAGGGGAGAGGGGGTGCGGGAAAATCATCAAAGATAGAGTTTATTTAGAGTTTCAGCATGTTTGGATCAAACATCATCGAAGATGTTGTCGTGTCATATTACTGTATTCTGTGCTTCGTACCTCTGTTGATATTATTTATTAGACAATAGCAGACAAACAATTTTTTCATCACAGTTGTGCATATAAAAGGTAGATGAATATAGTAATTTTTGTCTTCTAAGAATCTAAACAACTGTTTGTAGGAGTAATTTTCTCAAAGATATTCAACAAAATTTTAAAATAATTTTTAACTTGTGGGGGTGAAGGTGAGGATGAACATGATGTTGTCTGGTTCTGGTTGGAAAAGGACCAAGAGCAAGTGTGATCAGCTGATCAACCTTGGTGCAAAGTATGTTGAAGGTGAGGATGAACATGATGTTGTCTGGTTCTGGTTGGAAAAGGACCAAGAGCAAGTGTGATCAGCTGATCAACCTTGGTGCAAAGTATGTTGAAGGTGAGGATGAACATGATGTTGTCTGGTTCTGGTTAGAAAAGGACCAAGAGCAAGTGTGATCAGCTGATCAACCTTGGTGCAAAGTATGTTGTACATATCTTTTCTTTCACAGATATTTTTTACTTGTTCTCCAGTCCCTTGATTTGGTAGCCCTAATCCATCCTCCCGTTCTTATATTTCGGATGCTCATTCTCGGCCCAGTGAAGTCTCCTCTTCAGCAGCGACACTTTCTTTCAGTTAAGTTGTGTACATATACAGAAAAACTTCACCTTAGCCTAATAACACTTATTCAATTTTTCGTATAGGCTTCGTTCAAGTTTCCCTCAATATAAGATATATCTTGTTATTTTGGAAATATGTTTATGCCATTTAGGTACTTATATGTTGATGCATCTCTACGATGACTGGTTCTTTTTATTATCTGACATATTTAATTGAAATTCCTTCTTGCTTGCAAATATGTGTCTTCACCAGCAGAAGTTGCATCATCATGCAACGTGACATTTGCAATGCTCGCTGACCTTAAAAGTGCAGTATGTATATTTTAATCGATCCATAAATTTATATTAGTGTTGATTTGGGATAACTAGCTGTCTCAATTCATAGATTGATGTTGCATATGGAATAAATGGAGTTGCTAAAGGAATTGGGCCAGTCCATTGCTAAAGGAATTGGGCCAGGAAAAGGGTAAATGCCCAATACTTCTTTGTACACATTTGACATTTCAAATATCAGTTCATTTCAATTGTGATGAATTATGGCAGGTATGTGGATGTTTCTACAATTGATGTTGCTACTTCAAAATTAATTAACCAACATATTAAGCAAACAGGAGCATCATATTTAGAGGTGAGACATGTTTTTTATTTTGCCCCTTTCCTTTTCTTCAAGCAAATTATGTGACCTTGTTTTTTGTTTTGTTGTGTTGAATTTCATCTAGCATAAGAATGTTACACCTATATGTTTTTAATATATTGCAAATTATAGTGCTTTTTTTATAGGCTCCAGTTTCAGGCTCTAAAAGCCTGCAGAAGATGGGCAGCTGATATTTTTAACTGTATCTATATCTGTAGGTTCTTTTCACGTTAGCATAACATTAACATATATGTTTGTTGATGTATAAGGGGCAAATGACTATGTTTCTAGATGTTGGTAAAAGAAGACTATTATTGTACAAACCATGAATAAGGGACCAAATGGCTATGTTTCTGGAATATTGGTTGCGGCTGGCTGCTATAGTAAACCGAATCATGTTTAAATTGATTCATGTTTTAAAGTGTTTGTTGATGTTGGCTGCTACAGTAAACCAAATATTAATTTGTAGAGGCTTAAATGTTCCGTTTTTCTATTTCTAAGTCTTCATTGTTTGTGGCAGGATGAAGGTTGCGAGGTAATGGATGGTGGAGGGGAGAATATTTTGGATAGAATTAGTTGGAAGGAGACAAAGCATTGGGAGAGCTTGATGAAGGAAGAACTCGTTTTGATAATTAATGGGCTCGCCATGCTCTTTATCATTCAAATTCTAATTATTCATGGTTTATTGCTTCATTGTCATAGATCTTTTAGAAAGTAAAATGCAACTAGTAAATATGTAACCAAAGTTTGTAGCCTTCTTATTGATGATTATTCTCTTTGAATTTCAGTTGTGTCTAAGCAAGGATCTGTATTTATATTCCAAGCTGGCTGTTGGAAAATTACATTACATGGAGACTATCTATCATTGATAAATAGTACCGGATAAAACGCATGTTATGTGATTAAGATTATTTCATAAATACAAATAGAAATTTATAATGAATATTGTATATTATTATTTGTTCATGTTACATTCGCACTTTTATATGATTAAGATTCCCTTCCATAACAAGCACAAATAAATTTGTCTATAGTGGGGGGTAATCTTACGAGGGTGACCATAAATACTTTTCCCTATAAACTTTAAAACCAACCAAACACAAGAAAATTGGGAAATGTCAAATCAACAAAAGTTTTTCATTTTTTCCATGCGAACCAAACACAAGAAAAGTAAATACATTGGTTTCCCACCATTTTTTATGTGCGAACCAAACCGAAACAATCTATTTCCTAGGAAAGTTTGGAAAACTTAAAACTTGCATTTCTTTACATAGAATTGTATTTCCCTATATCTAGGAAACGAACCAAACAGCCCCTTATATACAACCATGAATACATGTGCGATTGTGGATAAGGACATAGGTGTGGACACAAGACACATATACAGCCTCGGCATCCTAAATGAAGTTTATGGGTAACCAGGTCATGAACTTTTGAAGAGTTCACTAATAGTACAAATTGCAAAAATTTCCAGAACTTCACCCTAGATAATTCTTATCAACAAATATTTTAGAAACTAGACAATTGCCTAATCTGAGTTCAATTCACATACCAACCAAACTATTTTTGAAGTTTATTCCCTTCGATTTGGTGATATCAGGGCATAAAACATGAACTCATGACGTGCCTTTTTAAGTCTTTTTCTATATGTACATTTCTAAGTCATTTTCTACTTAATGTTTCTTATTATCATAGGTTAAGTATAGAAGATTATGGAGTTTGTATAATCAACACACTTTCACATCCAAATAATTTTTTTTACTTTGCATCCGTTAAGATTTGTGTTGAAGTTTGAAAGAAGAAAAATTTTGAAGGAAGAAATAATAGTAATAGATATACAAATGAAAACTCACCAAAGAAAATCACAACTCGTCGTTCTTGTCAGCATCCCTCCTCTACATGCTGCTGTTGCTCCCCCTAGCTACTTGAGCCTAAGAATAAATAGATTTGATTTTAGAATATGAAATTTAGCAATACAATACACACATATATTATCAACATATCTGTGCACTGGTTTGGCCAGATCCAGTATTATCGGTTTCTAATTCTAAAGTTGAGAAAACATCTCTAAATAATTTAGCTGGAATCTTATCAGACAAGTATAAAATGATGTGAGTCAAAACTTTATCCACTGTGTTGGAAAATCAGAGAACATAGCCTACATCACCTATACAAGTAATTCTGGGTTGGTCTACCATGCAAATGACATGAGACACGCATAATTGCTGATGTGGTAGGAGTTCTTACTGAGGATCCTGTCCAAGTCGAATATGGTGAGGAAACCGTGGAGGATATTGTGCGTGTGCCCCTCATAACCCCCATTAATGAAAATCTGCCCATGATATTATATCCCATAACATTCATAGCAATGATGTCATTTTCCTCTCTAGATAGGATGTGAGGTTCATCAGCTTCTTCCTGAGTAGCACATAGTGCTGCCTTCTTGATGTAGCATCAATGCTATCCAAAATCACATAAGGAAAAAAGTTATATTGTTGATTGACAAAAAAAAAGAATGAATGTCAATAGAATACGTATTTCAATGATTTATTCAAAAATTTACCACCAACAACATGTTTTCCTTAATCTTTTTACCATCTTTATAAGTCGGACGAAAGGTACCATAAGCTAACTAAGCCTTTAAATTGATCGGCATTATCAGCTTCCTCCAAAAATTTAAAAAGTTAAAAGAGGTGGGCCATACTTATAAAAAAACGAATACAAAATTTTAAATAATATATCATGTTTTGACAATAACCATATTCAAGATTAACAAACGATATTGATCCCAAGTGGTGGTCAAGCTTGTGTTTGCTCTTTCGATTTGCTAATCCCTTCTTAGATTTATCCTATAACAAATAGTTTATTAATAAAAATGAAATGAATCTATAATCTTTGTCAATAAGAAAAATTAAAATGAAAAAAATACTTTTGCTGACTTGGTGTCCTAATAGAAAATAATAGCTGTGAAATTATCAAGGTGCACCCTATCATCGACATTTAAAAACCTCTACTAGTCTACTATATATTTATCATATGTTGAGCCTTTCAACTCATGCTACCATTATTTGAGCACGGTCTCAACCTTTACATTGAAAATATAGAGCCATGCTCCGGGATAGTCCTCAAGACAATAGTATTTCAACAAATTTAAATAGACATAATTATATTGATATTTTATTTACAAAATCCTTCAATAAGAGGTCTCACATTTGCTAAAACTGATTCATGTTAACAGTGGGCAGTTTTGATTTCTCTTATTGCAAATCCAAGTGGGAGTATGGTTTCCATAAGGGGGTGTTTGGTTGCATGTTTTTTGAGAAATGTTTTCTCAAAAGTACTGACGCATGGCATTTCTGTAATTAAGAGATTTCTATAGATTTCTATAAACTGTGTTTGGCTCAAAAAAGATTTACAGAAATGTTTTCTATAAAGTACAGAAAAGTACCAAATTTTATAGAAATTGATTTCCTTCAAAAATGGGCGAAAATCTCTTGCAAATTTTATAGAAATTGATTTCCTTCAAAAATGGGCGAAAATCTCTTGGAAATCTGACGCATTCATTATTTAAATAATAAAACTCATTAACACATTTCTATAAAGTTCTCACTTTTCTATATAGTTGGGGGTGTTTGGTTACATTTCTATAAATTATAAGAAATGTTGCTATTTTCCCAAAAGCTATGAGTCATTTTCTTGTTTTGAACCAAACAAATAAAATACAAAAAGTAAGAAAATTTGTACTTTTTAACTTCTCAAAACTTTTCCTATAATTTTTTTTAAGAAATACAAGGAAATCAAATTTTGGGTGGAAAACATTTCCTATAATTTATAGAAATGTAACCAAACACCCCCTAAGTAAATGATAAGTTTGCCTAGGATGCACCAAGATGGATTTAAATATTACATGGAAAGTACACAAGGGTAAGAGAGGAACAATAGATTAAACTTTTTGAAAAGTTTCTCATGTTCTGAATGTACAATGTACATTACCTACAGACTCCTTCAACGGGAGGCTTGAATGTGTTTGATTAATAATTTTAAATGGGGTTTGGACTTTTCTGAAATGATAAGGGGTATAGTGATCCTTACACTGTCAAACCTTGTGGCTTATAAGCCAAGCTACTTTGACATGTTTGAAAATTGGCTTATTTTGGCTTATAAGCCACCAAAATATAAGCTAGAGTACTCCAGCTTATTTTTTGGTAGATTATAAGCTAAAATAAGTTATTTACCAAATATATCAAAGTGGCTTACAACACAAAAGTGTTGTAGCTTATAAGCCACTGACCACTTGCCACGTGTGCTCTAAAGGTGTATTGTTTCCCATCATTTGTTTGGTGTCTAATGTATATATGTGTCCGAGCATCTCTTGCGACATACATAAGCGAGCCTTGTATCCATGCAACATAAGAGAAGAAAAGAAAGAAACAAACAAACATAGAAGAAAAGAAAGAAACAAACAAACATACCCAGCAATACGGTCATGCATGCTAAGACACGCACAAAGATACACATGTTAGATCTACATCATAAACTTGAGATCTAAAACCATATAGCCATGATTAATTCAAAGAGATTAACAAAATCAAAAGAGCGGAAGCTTATACCTGAATCCATAGATTGATCTTGATTTTGGATTTTGGATCTTCTAACCTTAGGGTTTTCTCCTTTAGCCGAATTTCTCTCTTAGATGGGGGCGAAGAGAATTAGAGAATGTAACCCTAGGTTAGGGACCATAACTCCTTATTTATAGATGTTGTACTTTTATAATTTAGCCCCTCAATAAATCACAATTACAACCTGGTATCTGCACATATAACCCCATGACTTATTTAAATACCAAATTAACCCAACTTAATTGATCACTTTAGTGGGTTATCCTGAAAGATAGCAATACACATTGATTAATCATATGTGCCCACAAATAGATTTATTAGATTAAATCCAACAATCTCCCACTTGGGCACCATATGATTCCTTAAATTGTGTATAACCTTATGAGCTCAAAAATTACTATCACTGAAATGGTATTTCCGAACAATCTCGTTCATTGACTATATCAATATAGGATCAAAGCGGCCTTCGTCACATTTATCGTGACTCGACCCATCAATGGTCACATATACCAATACAATCAAATGACATAGATCAATCATAGATG